GACAAAAAAAATATTCTTAATTAATGTGCAACTTCTCGAAACGACATATATTAAAAATAGGAGATAGTATTACAATTCTTTGGAAAATAGGATTCCTATCTATCATTGATAAAGGAGAAAAAAAAAAAAAAAAAGATTATTAGTATTATATATAATATAAGGACGCCATCACAATTCGCACAACAATTGGCCCCAAAATCGATCCGATCGTAGATCTCAATTGCAGACATCAATCGCCTTCTTTAATCGAAAGGTATGTATGAAAAACCTTCACATACCAATTCATTACTATGTCCTAAATTCTGAAACTGAAGGTATGCCTGAAATCATTATACCAATTCATTATAATTGATTTGTTTATTTTTCTTTATCAAAGATATTGTTAAATTTTGCAAAGAGTTAATTGTTTATTTAATTGTTCTATAATTATCTAGCATCCTTTTTATCCTTTAGATTTCGTAAAAAGTTATGTTTGTTTGAGATTGAAATTAAGTATTGTAAATCTTCCGATACTATGTTCTTGTTGATAACAAAAAAAAATAAAAAATAAAAAAAATAAAAACCAAACCTAATAATTAAGTATTGAAATTAAGTTTTTTAACAATGAAATAGAACTGCGCGGTTCATTCCCATCTAATAATAATAATAATAATAATAATAATAATTAGCAAAATAATTGAGTAATTAGAACCGCGCAGTTCTATTTCATTGTTAAAAAACTTAATTGATTTGCATGTAATTGGAAGTTTATGCAAGTTGATAATTGAGCGGGTGGTATGTTTTTGAAATTATATATATATTAAGCTCAAATGCAGTTTAAAAATATCAGTGATATAATAATAATAATAATCTCGTATATTTTATGGTGCTTGCGACTTGGATTCTTCTTGTGTTCCAGCAGCAGGTAAACTAAAACAACAAAGACGAAATCAAGAAAAATGGATAGGCTGAGCAGCCTCCCGGACAAGATCCTGCACCACCTCCTTTCTTTCCTCCCGACCAAAACCTCGGTCTCCACAAGCATCCTCTCCAAGAGGTGGCACTCCCTGTGGCTCCACGTCCCCGCACTAGACTTTGACTCCCGTGACTACCTCCCCCACTCCCGCCCCAGCATGGGCAGCTTCATCACTGGGGCATTCTTGCTCCGCGGGGCGCAGACCACAAATATGTTCCATCTCCACTGTAACAGGGACGGTTTCGACGTTGTCAGCTACGACATCGACATGTGGGTGTCCGCCGTCACCCGGCTTGGCGTCCGCAATCTTGACCTTCACCTCCACCACAACCTCTTGCTGCCCCACTCCCTCTTTACCTGCAAGACCCTCGTTCAACTCACCCTCAAGTGCTGCCGTGTGGGTGCTGGTGTTGGCCGCGCCACGTGTAATCTCCCCTGCCTCAAGAAACTCCACCTCGAGTCCGTGGAGTATCAGGTCAAGGAAGCATTGCTTTCGCCTTTGGCCCCCGCCTGCCCGGTGCTCGAGGAGCTCACCGTAGTCGACTGCTTCTTTTTTTTGGACGATGATTACGACATATCCTCCCCAACAATAAAGAGGCTCGCTCTCGGTTTTCGGTTTAAGAGGCGCGAATTTCACATCTCGAAAACGATGGTCAGGATAAATGCTCCCGCACTCACATATTTGGAGGTGTACGACTGTCTGTACGAGCGGCTGCTGTTTTCCCCGCCACCCTCCTTGGTCAAGGCGCGTGTCCACATACGTTACCGGTCAGCGGGAGTGTTGAAGTTTCTCCATAGCCTCTGTTGTAATGTTGAGTGCCTGGAATTGCAATTCGTAGATAGTGATTCATCGAAATTGTTGATGGAGCCCAACCAAGTGTCTAAATGCTTGTTATCATCAAACCTAACGAGTATTGAAATACATCAATTCGGGTGTACCAAGGGAGAGCTTGAGCAGGTATGGTATCTTTTGAGCAATGCTAAATGCCTCAAGAGGATGGAAATATATTGTTCCAAAACCGAGCCCCAGGTGAAATCCGATGCGCTAAACATAATTTCATCTTTTCACCGAGTATCTCAAGTGTGTCAGCTTCTCCTCCATTGACCTTTTGAGTAGCTTCTGATGTACAAGGAAGCGTCTAGTGCAGGCCTTGTTGAGCAAAAATTATGCTTTGGTAGTATACGTATGGCAAATTCCCTCTGTCATTTCTTTTTCATTTGAGTTTGAGATATCTGTTAGAAATTGGATTTAACTTTATTCGAAATAAATCGATTAATCTCAGGAGCATTCATATTGAATAATTGAGAATTTTAACTGAATTGCGGAAGCGTACCTGATGGATTCATGTTGAATTGACCACTTTAGAACTTAAAATTTGAGTATTTGGAAATTTTCAAAAAGACCGTGAACCGTATTTTCTTTATTTTCTTTAGTATTCTTTCTCGACGCATGAAAGAAATTTCTCATTGTCTTTTTTTATAGACAATTGATGATTGATGACATTTATTGCATGATAACTTTCTTCATACGGTTGCATGATTGAAGAAAGAAAATAATATTTTATAAATGCCTTTTTATTTTTCACAGTTTTTGGGAATCCACCCATAAATAATTTTTGATCCAAATAGGTCCTTAAGTTTAATACTAGTACGTACCTCGTGCAATGCACGAGACAAATATAAATGAGTTATTTTCATAGTCTTGTCCGTTTAAATTTAAAAATTAATAATGTTTTCATCTATTTTCTACCTCTTTTAATCAATGTTAAGTCTAAAATTATTAAGTCGCCCTCTGGCAAATATGTATGGAGTTATGTGTTCTTGTCTTTTTTTTTTTCAAACGATAGATATTATACCACAAACCACAAATTACAAGCACAAAGACAGCGAACACGCTGAAAAGCCAGCCAAAAAGCTGAAAATGAGAGAGCTACACAAAGTGTAGCCTAGAGCAGCCTAACGCCAACACAAACAAAACACGAAAAACAAACACCCAAGACTCCAACAAAGTAGAGGAAGAAACTCCAACAAGTGGAGGCAGAAACTCCCATACGGGAGGTCCACAAGACAAACTAAAACTAAAACTACTACCCATCAAACTAAACATAAAGAAACAAAATAAACAAAGCCTAAACAAAAACAGATCCCTCCCCTGCCGGAACACTAACCCAACGCCCAACAAAGCCAAACGAACATCCGAGCAAGCGGCCAATCGAAAAGCGACCTCAAGATCTACAACCCAGCCCATCGAGCTCGACGATTCACAAACAGACTCGCCATGGCCAGATCTCAAGCCTGAAATCTCCATCCAAGACCGCCCATGCGTCCCGGCTGGTAACCCACCACAACCCCCCTCCAGCACACTCTGTCACCGTCGACACCGCCGGAGGACCCAACCTACCCAACACCAGGGAAAGCCGGATAAGAGGAGAACCAAGGACTTACCTCCACCGAAGATCCCCACAAAGGCATCCACGGTGGCCGCCGGATACGACATCGACTGCAACCCGCTTCGAACACTCCCTCCGTGGCACTCACGACCGAGCGGAAACCACCTCTGGGATGGATCTTCGCGAAATTGCCGTCAATCCGCATCAGCGAGCCAAAGGCGAGCCATATGCTCGCCGGAATCGCGAGGCCAAGGGCCGCCGGAGGGGAGAAGTACTCAGGAAGAGGCGGAAACCTAGGGCACGACGGATTTGGGTTTTAGGTTTTTAGAGAGAGAAATTTTGATTAGCAAAGCTCATTAACTATATGTATGTGTTCTTGTCTCATAAGCCACAAATATTATGAATAACATTACAAATTATTCATTCAAACTTTTATTCATTGCAAATATATTAAAATAGTTTATATAACCGCCATTAAATACCACTTCCAATATATTTATAAATAAAAAGTGTATAAAATTTCTGGTGTGTTCAAATTTAAATAATTTTTTACGGGCTCAATTTTATATCATCCAGACATTTGGTCAAACGCATAAATTTAAATCATTGGAATTTTGATCGGTTAAAATTTAAATCATCTACCATGGTACTGTGATGTGTATTATATATATATATATATATACAAATTTTTAACAAATATTATGTGCTTTATAAAATAATAATAATAATTTCAGAAGATTTTAAACGTAAAAATTGGTTTTTAATCACAATAGAAAAATCATGATAAGTTGTATTGAAAAAGTGTTATGAGATAAAATAATTAATTAAAATAATTAAATAAAATACTTGATGAAAATAGAATGCATTAATTACCTTTGAATTTTCTTACCACTAATTCTAGTAAATAGAATGTCTTTTTATATAAGTATAAATATAGATGTGCATGTAAGATTTTTTAAACTATTTTGTAAAGAAAACATGTTTTAAAACAATTAAACTTAACATGTGTTATGACTACGTATATGTGAGTATACATACATACATATATATATATATATATATATATATATATATATATATGTACATATAGATAGAATATGTAAAAAAATATGTCTGAACATTTTGTTTAAGTATCTAAAATATTATAAGCCTAAATAAAGACATTATCTCACGCTAAAGTTGTTTTATAGAAGATTTATAAGATACCATAACTAAGATGTTACTTCCATATGAAAATTTGACTACACAATATTTCAAAAATTACTATCATTTTTTTTAAGTTTGTTACGTACCATAAACAAGAATTTGTACGCTTAACAATTTATCAATTTTACAAATACAAATTAAAATTAATGCAAAAGCTATCAATTTTTCAAATACAAATCGAGATTAATGCACACCACAAATTATGTGACAAATAAAAAAATTTATATGTATTTGAGATCAAAAACGAACACTGAATATTGTTTCTATTAACATTTACAATGTGTATTTAATGTTTGTTCTTTTTTTTGCAAAATATTCTTTCTAAGTGTGATATATAAATATTAAAAATACTTGAAATATTTTATAACATCTATAAAAGCATCTAAAATATTCTATATTATTCACAAATAATATTTGAAGCTACCTAAATTTTTCTAAACTACCTGAAAGAAAAACATGTCTAAAAATTCTTCATTTAACCTCCATATATGTATATATATAGAGAGAGAGAGAGAGAGAGAAAGAGAGAGAGAGAGAGAGCAAATGTTAAAAAAAATTATACAAATAATATTTAAAAGTATCTAAAATATTAGTAATTAGACAAGTGAAATTTAGATTTTTAAAAAAATCTAAATAGATAATGGATTTATAGTAATAATTAGACTTTTATTTATTTATCTTTAAAGTTGTTACGATAGATGAGAGATATAATTTTTTACTCGTGGAGATGGAATTTTGTAAGTTGGGTTATAATTTTTTTAAACTCGTCCATATTTATGCAATGAGTTTTTTGAGTTGGGTATATAGAATTAAAATTGTAAAAAAAACTTTCATAAATCATTTGATTTGGTATTTTCGGAGAGCTTCATTAATTTACAAGTGTAAAATAAATAAATAAAAAAAAGTACAACTGAAAAAATTACAACTAATTGTATGGAGAATTAAACTAAATCCAATTTTGTAGGATGCATTAAATATTGATTAGATTTTATATATAAAATAAAATAAAAAATAATTGGAATAGTTTTACGTGTTGCAATATTTTATATTTAAAAAAAAAAAATATCTTCTTTTAAGTGTTGCATACCAACATTTTAGGAACTACATGAATATTCATAAATTAATATAGCATACCAATATTTTAGGAACTAATTAAATGCTAATTTGATTTGCATACCCAAAATATTAGATACATTAATTAAATTCTTGATAAAATTAGAAATTTATTAATTAAGTTTGAATTTTCTAACTACTATATTTAGTAAATAGGATCCCCTTTAATATAAGTATATATTATTATTTACTACGTCACCAAATAATAATATTACCGGGTGTCCACATTTAATTATTCCACAATCAAAATTAAGTTTTTAGCCAATATACAATAATTTGATCACTTAATTTGGCTAAATAATATAATGACTCAATGTATTAATTACACATATTTAATTCCAAATAGATCTAACAATCTCCCACTAGATTAAATATGTGTCCTGATAATACATTATACCTTATGAGCTCAAAATATGGTCATTATTACAGAACTTAAACAATCTGGTCCATTAATCACAATAATATAGCACTAGAGCAGTTTTCACCGTATACACACAGCTAAACTATCAATAATCACATATATTATCATAATTAAATGACATAGATCAAACTGTGGAACATGTGGCATGAAAATTACATGAATGTGATCAACACATGTCAATTTTCAACTAGTCCAACATTAATGAGATCGTTAAGTACAATAACATAATGTACAAAGTGTCATAAACCAAAACTTTATTTCTGATCAGAATAAGTACTTTACATATCATCGAATAAAAATGACAAAATATGTAGCAAATACTCCCACTAGAGTGAAGCTTCCTGACTATGTAACACACCCATATGAGCAGTATGCTCGTAAAGTACCATAGGTGTTACACCTTTAGTTAGGGGATCTGCTAACATAGATTTTGTTCCTAAGTGTTCGATGGAAATTTGACCACTTTGTACCCTTTCCTTCACAGCTAGGAACTTAATGTCAATATGCTTTGACTTAGACGAGCTCCTATTGTTGTTGGAGTACAGAACGACTGATTTATTGTCACAATAGATCTTAATAGGTCTTTCAACCTCTGAAATTATTCGCAGCCTTGTGACAAAGTTCTTTAACCATATTCCCTGGTTTGATGCCTCAAAACACGCCACAAACTCACTTCCATAATGGAAGTGGTAACAAGTGTTTGTTTAGCACTACGCCAGGAAATGGCACCACCAGCCAACATAAATAAGTACCCAGACGTAGATTTTCTACTGTCTTGGCACCCCGCATAATCAGAGTCAGAATATCCAACGATCTCCAAATGATATGATCTCCTATATGTGAGCATATAGTCCTTAGTTCTCTTAAGGTATCTCATCACTCTTTTTGCTGCTTTCCAGTGATCCAATCCAGGATTACTCAGATATCTACCCAATATACCCACTTGAGCGATTTTTATGCCATAGTTTTTGAATTGGCAAACCCTGCACTTGAGCGGTTTTTGCTCAATGCCCAGGCATTTGAACGGCTGAGGGATTACTGGATGACCCACGATGAAATCTTTCGTCTTGTTGACGAGGCCATTGATTGCGCCCGACAGAATGCGAGCGGTCGTGAGGTTCAATGGGCTTCGTTGGTGGTAGTGGGCCTCGTGGTACGCACGGCCCAACAAGAGGGGGAGTCAAATGAGGCCGTGATGGACCGGGTAATCCGAGCCCAATACTTGGTGCCCATGTCGTACTTGTCGTTTACTTATTTCACGGTGGAGTATGCACCGAAGATTTACAACATACCCTACGTTTTCATAAGAGATATTCGTAAAAAGGTGGATAAAATTGACGGTATGTGTGGTATATGCTCGAGGAATATGAGTGTGAGAATTGTTGCATCTAAGCTTCCGAGGTGTGGGCATACTTTTCATTCCGGTTGCATTTGCTTGTGGTTGGAGGGCTGCAACCGGTGCCCGTCTTGCCAGACTACCGCGTTCAT